ACCTCTGTGCAAGGATAGTATTAATCTAGTGTTCTGTCCTAGATATACCCCATCTTTTTCTGCTTCAGGCAGCTTATTAGATGACGTAATCGCATGTTTTTAACGGTTTTAACCAGCTGCATCACTTCTGACGCAGAGTTAGTGATGAAATGACTTTGTAAATGTTTGAATATACACGGGTTCTTCAACCATGGACAAGATATTATTTTCTTCGGTCTCTCAATAGTAGAGTTAGTCCACTTAATATTTCCTGGAAGGCCAAATAAATGAGGAAGAGAAGAATTTCTCTGAATATTTATTTTTTATTTTTTATTACAGCTTGATTCCACACTGTATTTTTGGTACAAGTATGGAATTTTCAGCATGGATATCGGTAGCCCAAATTTTGCAGGCCGACCATAGATATAAGGTGTGTGTCGGTGTGGGCTCGAACCTCGGACCATGTGCATGGTCGACGAGAGTCCTAACCACTGTGCCACCAACGCAGTACTACCTTCAAATTAACGAAAATTACCAGACTGCTAGAATCAAAGGTAAAGACAACTTAAAACAAAACTAAAGCCCTAATTCAGTAATTCTATATATTCTTGTTATGTTTAACCTGTTGAAATCCACATTAGTTTAGTGATGATACCTTAGTTTCCACTTTTGTTTTTCTCAAAAATAATTGTATAAACTTCCAGGAAAATGGGTTTCTCAGCCACCACTTGGTAAAGATATAAATGTGCAGAGCTTCATGAAAAAAAAGAAAAACCAGAAATATGCCTGGCAGAGACATATAAAAGCCATATCCTCACCACACAAAATATGTCAATGTAGTTGAAGATTGAACGATCAATTCATGGTTGTTTGCTCAAACCAAACTCCTCCATATTTTTCGTGGAAGTCATCAATACGGCAGTCATCGTCTCATCGTTCGCTGTTCAGTGGAAGAGAGAAAACTATCGGAATTATTATCGCTATTTATTGTTATAACATTTATTCATTGACCTTGTGTATAATAATTTCATTGCTGGCTAAAAATTGGCTTAAGAATAAAGGATTCTCGAGTCACCAATCTGTGTTCTGGTTTTTTCGCGTTGGTTATTACACATTGTTTCTGAAAGTCTTCCAAGGACAGCGTGAGAATCACTGTAGTGTGACTTGCACAATGACAAATTAATTGCTCCATTTAATAAATACTCAAGTTATTATAATCCGAATCTTCGATATTGAATGATCTGTCGTCTTAAGATGAAGCATGCTGTAAGTCAAGTCTCATAAACTGTCAATGTCCAGCTCTTGCTACGCTGGACTTCACGCTGTCCCTCGAAGACTTTCACAAACGGTTTATATAAACCAACGCGCAAACCAAAACACCGATTGGCGACACAAGAATGCTTTATTCTTATGTCAACATATAATCAACGATAATGTTATTACAGAAGGTTTCTGATAGTTTTAATCTTCCTTCTGAACAGCGATGAGACGATGGCTGCCGGATTGATGACCCGCGAAAATTATGAGGAAGTTGGGTTTGAGCAAACAGCCATAAATTGATCGTTCAATCTTCAACTACATTGACACATGTAATGACTGGAAAAAAAGTTTGGTGGCTAACAACTACTTATTCAGTACGTTGGTTGAAATTTCACTTAAGGAACTTTTCTTCGTAATTATTTTTTGGTAAAATTGCATAATATGTTGCTTTAATTAGTGAAAACTCCAATTTTTCTACACGAAATCCTGGGGTACGTGCAGGCTGTCGAATATGATATTAGTGAGAGTATTAGCCTGTCGAGCTAACGCTGATACCCTTCGTCTGAACTGTTATCTGTAAATTATTAAAATTTCTAATATACTTTTTAGTTTCTACTACTTCTGGACTTCTTTCGTGCGCCTCATTACTATGGGCTATTATAACACGTGAATTTGGACCGATGCATGTTCAACTTCGTTAATGAGGCAGAAACTTACTGTAGAGTTAGGAGATTATTACTTTGGTGATAGCAGGGTATTGCATCTATTCATATGCACATGCATATTGCGAAGACTGCATCAGGTTAAGCAAAATGAAAGATAATGCTGTGATATTCGTTACTCTACAGCCACTTCATTTAGCTAGTCGCACATCTGAACACAGCTAGATGGCAGCATGCTGTCACTTCACTTCGTAAAGGTAAACGTAATAACCCAGGACTAATAGCAGCTTCATTAGTCTGTTGATGTGAAGTCGCGTTATCAGATATAGACTATTCACTTGATAATGAGTTAAACAATAATTTTTATTTATCTCTAATATTCCGCTGAATTACTTTTTATTAAATAAAATCTACTCTCCTTACGATCAATAACTACAGTATTTAATGATTTGCTATACTGGCACCGAACTATTTGTGGCCGTATGCGGCTAATAAGGAATAATTCACTTTATTTAAAGTCATTTTATCTTGACCTGTGTGTTGCTCTTGCTTTGGTCATTAGAGTAGTATATTTTATTGGAACCTATATCACTGTATGTTAGTTCTAAGCGTAAACCATATGTGAACACAACGGATGTGAGCAAAGTATGCATATAGTAGTAAAGTTCATTACTGCACAGGGAATTCGTTCATCTATCAATTCACTAGGATATTTCGACTTTCACGTTTTCATGGCATAATGACGTCAGGGAGCAGGCAACACCTCTTGTAAAGTTGTTCTCGATGGAGACGACAGTGGGTACAAGCAGAATGACAATAGGAACGTATGGTAAACTCTTTGCCTAATTTGATTCAGTTCGTTGCTTCTAATTTCATCTGATGAAGCACGCCAAGGAAGCCTGCAGGTAGTGAACGCAGATGGCCCATGAACTGATTCATAGTGGCTTAATGCTCTACGAACTCGCCTCAAAACCAGATGGTCCTGGATCCTAACCTCTTTGAGGTGGCTACGTACTGTCGAAGAGTCCAAACGAGGACGAAGTAGCTGTCTAGTGCTTCCAGTAGTCCTTTAACTGATGTTAGCTAATGACCAAATCCTCCATCCAATGAATGGCATTTTTAAGCACATATGTTGGGCAAAAGCTCTTTGGCCGGTTCACTAACATCCAATTTTCAGTATTCAACGGAGACCTCTGTTCATGAAAACCGGCTGCCTATCGGGGGTTTTGGTTACATGTGCGTCAAGTTTGGGTCACGCGGAAGCCTCAACGTGAAATCATGGCCCGAAGCTCGGAATCCGTCCCTTGTGAAGATCTTCGTAGACCTCCACACTGATTTCAGAGTAATGAAAGTCTGCCTTGTTTCTTCATTCTGGTAAGTGGTGGAGACGACTTCGTCTAGATTTTTGTGTTTAATAACTTCTTGTGTTTGTTGCTATTCGATGGGTGTCATCATCCATATCCAGTGTGTGTACACCTGAAATTCAGCATCCACTGCTTCTTCTAATGACTTTCTTGCTTCAGCTAAATGCAGATCTTTTACTAGTCCGACGTAAGTCCTTTCGCTGACTTTCCACGGTCTGCCAAAATATTCACTCTGATGCTTCGTAAAGCTGCAGTAGGATCCTTGCATGGTTTTTGTTTTCCGAATGCAAAATATTCCTGGTGCAGTCTGCTAGCAGGCAAACTCTAAGCCCCTTCCAGATGGTGTCGCAAAATATTTTGCCTATAGTCGAAAGAAGGATGATTTAGCCCCAGCTTTTGCACAAAGGCGCCCTTCTTGGTAGCTTCACATGGTAGCCATTCTCACGATCCACGGGTGCTTTCTCTCCCTAGCAAACTTACTGCAACAGTGGCGTTAATACATAAGGTAAGGTGTCTGCGTTAATTTCAGTATTTCCGGTGGAATTTCTTGTGGTTTTGCTGCCTTCTTGGACTTTCAGACAGTATTTTCTTCACCTTACCCTTACAGGCAATTAGGGTCCCTCCGCTACCATTCACTGGTTTCATCAGTTTCGAGCTCATATCGAGACGATACCTAGTTTCCTGAACCGAAATCTCCCATGTCCGCGGCTTTTCGTATTTCAGCTGCCTGAATTTCATCAAAATTGCATGTTGTCTCCTCTAGCATCTTCCTCATTCCTATGTTCAGCACTCTGAAGTTTGAACCCAGCTTCTGCCGCTGTTCGTATCTGCAATGGCCAACTTTTGCCCCACTATCCATTTGTTTATTAGCTTTCATTCGCCGTCGCAGATCTATTTCTTGCCTTGCTTCCTCCTCCTTCCCACAGTGGTTGCACTTGTTTCCTTCAATATTACTTTCAGGGAGTTCAAGAATTCCTCCATACAGGTTTCTTTGGTAATAATGCTTAGTGCTTACCACTACTCGTCGACTGCTGAAGTGTCTTTTTTGATTTCGTTCTTAAGTTTCTTAGAGCTGTACTTCGACTGCGATCGATCTCCTGCGACTATGGAGTCATTTAATCCGACATCTATGATCCCTAGCATGAGACAGTGATGTTAAATTATATCCTCAACTCTTCTTCGCTGTGCATTCAGCAAACTGCAATTCCGTTTTCTTGGGGATAAGAAACATCCTGTCTGGTTTGAGTGTTTCCATCTGCATCAACCCACTTGAAGGTAATTATAATTGTATAGTTGTTAATTTATTTGATTTTGACTTACGTATTACAGTTATAGTCCTTAAACTGACTAGTTCCTGCTGTGTAAGATCAAGTTTGCTGGAGATCAGTGTTTGGGGAAAAAGTCATCCAGTATATGAAGGAGATGTACGTGTGAATCAGCACAAGCGGAACATCAAATTGGGTGCAGAAATTGGCTGGATGCAGGCTTAAGATATTTTAGACTTCTTGGAGATAATCAAAGGAATATTCGCTTAATGTTTATTAATTTCAATTAAATCTGCTTTTTCTAGCAGAAGTTGTACTATGGTGACGGAAATATGGTAGTTTTTAAGTAGATTGTGAGATTGTAAACTCAGAGCCTAGGAACAAAAGACTTTGTTTTGATGCAGTGAAGAGAAGGTCGAGTAGTTGCTTTGACGTCGCGAACTTTGACGTTGGTTTTTCTTATTTCGCAAATGTGTGCACAACTAAGTGATGTCACTTCCGAATATCCAGCGTCTAAGCGTATTCGTTCCAATGTTGGCCTAATAACATGTTTTACCTTGTCTCTTTGTTCTGCGGCCTGTATGTACAGGCTAATGGATGAAATTACATCTGATTTAGATGCTGACCTTGCAGACGTGGATGGTTTAGCAAAAACTGATGAAAAAGGAAATTGTCTAAGCAGTTCCCAACTAAAGGCCGTTTTAGACCAACGTGGCGTCTTGTACTCTTCACTGTTAGGACGAAAAGATTTAGAATCAGCAGTAAATTCAACAGGTAAGTTGACTATCCAATGCATCGTATGTTTCAGTATATGACTATGTGCCTACATGCTTTGAGTCACTTATAGATTTACACTACTAGACGTAGCATTCATAATTTTCTTCGTGTTATGAATTAGATGTGCGAGAAGTAGTGAACTCTGGGCAACTAATTAACTGCCTTGTGCCCATGGGAACATTTATAAACATTCCAAGTTCGAAGTGTTAGATGTTCTAGTATGGTATGCATACTATCGTAAGTAGTGCTGAAATTATTCTATCCAGTCTATGGATTACCCTAGTCATATTTGCCAGACACTAATAATGGTATAATTTCTGTATATCTCATTACTGATTGCTTAAAGCTTACACTTCACTTGATATTTCGTTACATATCAGCAGCCTTTGTATGTTTAGTGTGCGTTATTATCTCTAGAAAACCGTAGCATAGATTATAGATATTTAGTTGCAACTAAATATCCATGGAGAGCAGTAGATTTTGTTTTGTAGGTAGAAGTAATAAGTATACAAAGAAATACTACTCCTAGCCATGATAGTTACTGTTCTATTTCAGGCAATAGTTAAACATTTCTCCTTAAGTGTCAGAGTTCCGCTACCTTGAAATCCCTACTCGAGTATCTTATTTACTTGAAATGATATATATATATATATAGGAATAGCAATAGACCGTAAGTAGTTTTGTTGTACTTGCGATAATATTGATGCAGAGGGTTATGAATCATAAACTGATTAGACATGTGAATTGATAATTAAAAGCAACACCAAGTTCAATAAACAAGCGTAATATAGATGAAAGTAATATTAAGTACGTTTAAAAATGTGAATATGTAATCCCGTCATTTGCAATTGTAATAAGATGAGTGAATTACCATCAATAAAATTAAAATAAAATGTCACTATATGATGATGCAAAGTAAATCAATAGTGTGAAACAACATGGCATAAAACTTTTGTGAATCAGACAATAAAACTGAAACTGCAGTAACTAAAGAAGATGTAGAAATGGTTTCTGTATACAGAGTTCCGGCTTTATGCCAAATCTTCCCATCTACGAAGGAAATGCACTAGTGCTTTTTTCAGCTGATGGTATTATTTATTTGTTTATTTTGATTACAGCTTGATTCCACACTGTATTTTTGGTACAAGTATGGAATTTTCAGCATGGATATCGGTAGCCTAAATTTGGCAGGCCGACCATAGATATCAGGTGTGCGTCTGCAGGGGATCGAACCTCGGACCATGTGCATGGTCGACGAGAGTCCTAACCACTGTGCCACCGACGCTTTACGGAATGCGTCGGAAACTTCATGGTCATTGTCTACTATATGTTGCAATATTTACGAATTAATGGCTTCAAACTCTCCCGTACTCATGAACATGATGGGGTATGTTTCTTGATGCCCATCCACAAGAGCAAATGGGTATATAAATACACGTGAAATCGAACATCAGAGGTAACATTTCCTTAACATTAGGGTGCACTAGTGGAAGGCTACAATTAGTTGTTCTTAGAGTGGCAGTAAAGAATATTTTTTTGGAGATTTTGTCAGTCAGTTTTTAAGGAGTTTACTGGGAGTGTCGGCCCTGAATTTTGAGTTTAAGTGCAACACTTCCTTTGGCACTTTGCTTGACTCTGTACTTTTATCATGTAATTTGTTATTAGTCTCGACAGAGCAGATTGGATATTCATTCCCCACTGAGGTTTCTTTAAACTGTTCATGTCCTTAATAAACACTGTCTTCACTACAAATTCTCCGAATAAGTGTTGAGACAGAACTAATTAAATCCCTTTGACTATCCACAGGAACAAGACTTTAAAAGTTAATCATTTTTCAGGTTTATATCAATTTTCTGTAAATTGACCCATCAGCTCTCCTTGAGAAGAGCAAATCGAGGAAAGATATTTTACCGTTTCTTTTTCTAAGGTGAACCGGATAGCAGAGTGACTGTCATTGAGTACTTTCAGTATGTCTTCCAAATCCAAGTTTTCATCACATAAAAAACGTGTTATCCTCGTATCTTCAACCCTTCAGTCGCTTAGTAGCAGGTGCAACGGTACTGTTCTTTATACTAACCAAAAACAAACCCGCTAGTAAGGGAAATAATGGCGAATCCACGGCGACCCTATCTTTATGTCTGTAAATGTCATCGTTAAGATGAAATTGGACATGCGATGTACTCTGAATCATAAGCTCTTTTAAGTATGATGTAGGTATTCCTATGTTCACATTGTGTGAGTGTATGTGATTATATGCATACTGTTTGATTTAATTGAACATTAGCAAACAGTGAGCATACATCCGGCGACAACATAGTTTCCTCACTAAAATAAGTATTATCACTGAAACTAATAATTTCTCGTGTATCATGCAAATAGTAGCTAATTAATTACCTTCTTAGTGGTTCCAGTAGTCCTGCTGGTGACAATGATAAGGTGAACCTGTCATGTCTAGAAGTGGACGAAGTGGCAGATTTTTGGCAGGCCATAGAGTTGGGGAACAGTAGATCCAGAGTGTCTCAATCGTGTATACAATTATCCCCTTAGTTCTTACTAATTCTTGAAGATTGTTTGTTTATGTATTCGTGCTGTTGATTTGAAGATTGGGATTAGTAATAGTTTATGAAGGGCTAGAGCGACACACGAGATTAGCAATATCCCACCCCATTTTTTCAGTATCTTTTAAGAAAACACTGATCATATCCTATTCAGTTCCAAAGAATTTATCTGAATAAATCTTACCCTATATAAGCCTTCTACTTACATGTAATGTTAAAATTAATACTCTGTGATAGGTTTTATCACTCCAAATGAACTTACGAATGCCCAAGCCAAACAGTCAAAGCATGCAAACATGGATTTCTCAAAAAGTCCAGACGCTTTCGTCTATCGGAAATTATCACATTCAAATTATCAACCAATGGATTCGAATCCCACGCCATCCAGTTTCAGATCGAATAGCATCGTATTTGATAGTGAATCTGAATTTATTGAACATGTTGAAGATAAAAAGGACAGTGTATGGCTTTTAGCTGTGGCTTCCCCGCAGTCTTCTTTCTCTTCAACTACAGATCAAAAAGCCAAATTCAGAATTAAACCTGCGTCAGTCATTTCGGAGGAGATTTGGGCTGTTTTAAGTTATCGATATCAGTCGTTCGGATTCAAGACAGGTTTGCTTAACTGTGAAAAGCTTCATAGGTAAGCATTTGCTAGTGGTGTTTGTATAATTAAATCATTTCTTCATTTTTGTTTAGCGTCATGAAGACCTCTTTTTGTTTGTTTCGTGGATTTGATATTTGTTATTCATCCTAATGAAATCATTTTTACCTTCCTTAAGAAATTTTGTATTATTTTTACTTCAGTTTAATTTGTATTCTTCCTTGTCCCCTACTTACTTGAAGAAATTTTCTTTTTGCAGCATTCACTTGTGGAAGTTTTAAACCACCGACCTAAGTTAGTGTGGTTGAAGGATTGTTCCAGTTTTCATCCCGTAATGCTTGTAAATCTTGCTTCTTTATTATATGTTAAATTGGACAGTGATCTCAGTTGAATTTAGCTAGTAAGGGCTAATTATTTTATTTGTTTAGTAGGTTTTATCACTGATTTTTTAACTCATGGAAAATTCCCATTGTAACATAGAAAATCAAAACAAGTGATTCAGCAAAGAGACTGTTTTCAACGAATTTATCATCAAGCTGTACAGTCGTATATATATGGTTTTTAAGAAGTTATATCCGGTGAGGGAATTGAATCTTAGGTGTGAATGCATAAAATAATAATAATAATAATATGAAATGCAATTAAAACTAAAATGTTTGTGATTGTAATCGTAGTTAAATGACAAGTGGCAATGCAAATTAATGTCATGTGTAGAATAATTCATAGGACGGATAAAACTTGAAAATGGTTGTGCAATTATAGGATTAGTAGACAAATCGAATAAAACAAAAGCGTTACGTAATATTGTGTGAAATTTAATAGAATAGAATTTAACGCTGTGAAAAAGGAATTGATTTAGAATGACAAGTGGAACAAGTGAAATAATACCGGGGGCAGTTCAAAGTGAGAATAGTAATAGTAACAACTGACGCAATAGAGGAAGAGGATACAAATTGAATAGACAAAATGAGAAATTAGTAGAGCCAAAATATGATTGGGGATTACCATATTTTAGCATAGAGGGATTAAGACCATGAAAGTTGGAGGGTTTGAACGAACTTCTTCTGTACACAGAGATCTGGCTTTTCTGTTTCGATAGCCAAAGCTTCAGCAATACAGATGAGTCGGGTACGTAGGGATTTGGGTAAATTACTCTTTGCCTTGTAGATGACTTTAAAGGCGGAGGCTATAGAGATACGGTGATCATTATCGACCAGATGTTCAATGATCGTGCTTCTTATTGCTCCACTTCCACCTCTTCGTAGCCATGCAGGATAGTGTTCTTGCACCCTCTTGGACAAAACTCGAGTCGAACGACCGATATATCTAGCTCCACAAGAGCAGGTGAATTGATAAGCGCACATAGAGTTGGTCAACAGTGGGATCTTGTCCTTCAGGTTATTGAACAATAATGGTCGGCTAGTAAAGGCTATTCTCAGAGAACACTATCCTGCATGGCTACGAAGAGGTGGAAGTGGAGCAATAAGAAGCACGATCATTGAACATCTGGTCGATAATGATCACCGTATCTCTATAGCCTCCGCCTTTAAAGTCATCTACAAGGCAAAGAGTAATTTACCCAAATCCCTACGTACCCGACTCATCTGTATTGCTGAAGCTTTGGCTATCGAAACAGAAAAGCCAGATCTCTGTGTACAGAAGAAGTTCGTTCAAACCCTCCAACTTTCATGGTCTTAATCCCTCTATGCTAAAATATGGTAATCCCCAATCATATTTTGGCTCTACTAATTTTTCATTTTGTCTATTCAATTTGTATCCTCTTCCTCTATTGCGTCAGTTGTTACTATTACTATTCTCACTTTGAACTGCCCCCGGTATTATTTCACTTGTTCCACTTGTCATTCTAAATCAATTCCTTTTTCACAGCGTTAAATTCTATTCTATTAAATTTCACACAATATTACGTAACGCTTTTGTTTTATTCGATTTGTCTACTAATCCTATAATTGCACAACCATTTTCAAGTTTTATCCGTCCTATGAATTATTCTACACATGACATTAATTTGCATTGCCACTTGTCATTTAACTACGATTACAATCACAAACATTTTAGTTTTAATTGCATTTCATATTATTATTATTATTATTTTATGCATTCACACCTAAGATTCAATTCCCTCACCGGATATAACTTCTTAAAAACCATATATATACGACTGTACAGCTTGATGATAAATTCGTTGAAAACAGTCTCTTTGCTGAATCACTTGTTTTGATTTATCACTTATATCTATATCTGTTTAGGATACTCTATTATGTCTAGATCCTCTGTATCATACAGATCTTTGTAAATGAAGCATCAGTTTTACAAAAATTAATGCACCCTAAACACAAACTAATTTGAGTCCGCCAACAAGTCAAGCCATCGCCTCCCTCGACGAGCAATGTTAGCGGATATAGGGTTAGGCTGGAAAAAAGCTAGCGGCGGTCAAACGAAAACTTGGCACCAGTCAATGAAATCCACAACAGTTGGTCTAAGCCAGTCACGTAGGAAGGTGTAGACTTCCAGGCTGGGGTCCTCGGGACGGTAAAAATCTATGGTTGGAAACAATTGGTGACATGGCTCAAAACCGTTCTCAGTGCATAGCGCAGATGCATCCACTCCTTGTGACTTATGATCTCCAATGAAACTGTTTCGTTTTTCTTTATTACTCCTTTGTCTCACACCTCTGCTCACTGTCTCTATTATGCTTTTCTTGTACTTTCTTCTCTTGCTTCGCGTGCTACACGGCGTGTGGCGATTCGAACTTCCGCACATTTGTGCAAAGTTCTATTTCGAAAACAGACAGACAGACAGCCAACAATCAATCGATTTTCTCATGAGTAAAATTGTGGCTTCTGCATATAAATAACTATTATTTCAGTACGAACACCATCCACTCACCCAACTAACTAAGTATCTGGTTGTCTTCGTGAGTAAGCACTTAGGTCTTGGATATATTGCTCATTGGATTAGGAACTCGAATTTAAGTCACTGGATTAGGAGTTTGAACTCCAGCCAGGCTGCTGAGTCTTGGGGAGCCATATAGTATCATTAGCCACGCGTGCATGTAAATACAAATTTTATTTCAGTTTCATTTTAATGTCCCGTGAATGTAGCTGTCAATTTGATGAATAATACCAGTTCATTGTTACAGACTCCAATAAATTCAGCCTTCCTTAAAAAGTTTGCTTGAGAATTAGTGGAGTCACTGTAGGACTCAAATAGGTGCTGAAGTGGCATGCACCCTTGATTGACTTTTTAAGATTCATGATGCGTGATATGACATTATCCTTGAATACACCCGAGCTCCCTCAAAAAATAATTTACAGTTGGTTGTCCATTAAATGAAACTAACAACGCAGTTGTTCTACGTAACGTTTATTGTAATGAATTAGTAAACGTCGTTCTAAGATTCTAGTGTTTTGTTATTAGATCGTTTGTTTAGTTTTTCTCTGTATTGGATTTTAAATTAGAAAATATTTTCCATTGTTTCAGCTTGTGCATTGAACGAGGTTTCATTAATCCAGATCTCATCCTCGCTTTACCCAAAGGTGGTGAACGTATGAAAGATATGGTACAATTCCGTCCTTTACCTAAAGATCGAAAATCGAAAACAGTTGTTGGTCATGGATCAAGTAAATACATTTTAGACATTATTCACTCATGGATTGTATCAGTGTTAGCGGAACGTGTTAAAGTGTTAATGGACGTACGCGATATTTATCCAGTGAGCTCAGTATTGCCTGGTGATCGCACGCTTTGGAATAATTATTTAAAGCATTTATGGTCTTCGTGGTTATTTAAAAAACCTCAACCAATACATGTTGTATGGCTCCCGGAGATTTCATATGAAACCAAATTGACCAACAAATATCAACCACCATTAGTTTTAAGTGCACTTTCTGTCACATATACTGGTCGAGTTCGGTTTTGGTCTGTGCCATACGATTTATTCAATCAAAAATCCAAAACTGTGAATACTAACGCCGATAGCTGGCCAGTAACTAAATCATCTATTGGTACAGTCTTTGATTTGTTAAACTATATGAACTGTTCTTCTAAATCCCGCTATGTAATCCTGACGCCAGAGGGGAGATGCTATCCATTCGGTTTAAATAGCAAAGAATATTTAAGCTATGAGAATCTTGAAATATTGTTGCGTTCATTATATCCTTCTACCGATGATTTCCTTTGGATATTGGTATTTGCAACTAACCTTTTGGTTTTCATAAATGGCGCCGTTGAAGCTGGACGGATATTGTTTGTTATTACACATCCGTCAAATGCTAGTGGTAATAATAATTTCCAAACAAATCGCAACAGTAATCGTTCATCTGTTGTTGCACGTCGTTCAGCCTTAGCAAGAACTGTAATTAGACTAGCACGGCAAGGATGGACATCACACATTCCTAATTTTAATAGTGACCACCATTCAACGTTTGATGAATCGACTGATAATTATTATCACTCAACTGATCAAAGTCGTTTGGTTTATGAAGCTAGACAGGACATTTCACCGCCCAACTCATCACCAGTCAGTATGAAGTCACTTATATTGTCTCATATCTTTGAATGGATTAAAGTATTTCTTCTTGATCTAATTTCAGCCTACATTCTTCTACTTTTAGCTATATTACCAATTATAAATATTTTAAGTTTATCTTATGCTTTACCAGTTGTCAACTTAAATCTTTGGTTTCTAAGATCATTCTCTTTGTCTTCACCCATAGTCAAATTGCGCTTTTCTATTCTAACAGGTCATTTAAAATGGTTTAACTTGTTACAAGTTATTCTAGCTTCATGGTTGTTTTTAGTAATGTCATCGAGTAGTGTTTATTCTTTAATGCTGAAGTACACGAAGAACAATAATAATGGTCCGTCTAACAGTTCACGGTCTCGACGTTTTAATCGATTAGATCCTGTTTTAGTTCGTGAACGCCTTAATCAGATATCACCCGATCAACTGTGGAATGAATTATCACGCTTACTTATTCAATCAGACATTGAATTAAAATCCGGTTCTGCAGATTCTACAGCTTCAAGTACACTAGAATCAGATAGCCATCGTGATTATCAGACATGTAATAACAAAGGAAAGTCTGTGAGTGAACACAAGTCATCAGATGCTACGATTTTTAAGTCGAATACAAATAATCAGGAAGAAAATATGGAGGTTATTGAAGGAAATCGTTTATTACGTAGGCTACGAAGACTGTATCATATTCTTAGCCAGCAGACAAGTCATCTATCATCGACTTCGATGAATCCAGCAGCTTCTTTTTCATTACCAGATTCATATTATCAGGGAAGCAGAATTCCTGATGAATCGAGTCATGTAACTGCAGCACATATGTATACTTGGAATTGTTTAAATTCATTTGGCAATAATAATAATAACAATAATGTTAAGTCTCCTACTGGTGTAAATATCAATCATTATCATCCACATACAAGAAAATTATGTCCGACTGCTAAGCCTGCCACATTTACTGCAACAGATATTAACTACGAAGCTGATGATGAATTTGAAGGTGTAGGTGATGATGAAGACAATAATTGCGTCTGTCGGAGGTTTTCATCTCATGTCAAAAGAAGAAATGGCAGTCATCCAGCTTTACGCGGCATCCATTCATCTCGTCCAACTTCTTTCTGCTCACTATCAAGTTCCAGCTCTGATGTAGGTAGTAATGATGATGAGAAATATCGCTCTAGTCGTATTATTCACTCTCGTGAAAGTGCTACTCTCACAGCAAATAACTACACTTCATCTGCCTCCTCCGCATCTGTATTATCTAATGATGTTAATTGTACAACTCCTTTAAACGATTGGCCATCTTGGGTTGTACCATGCAAAGAATGTGTTGTATGTTGGCAAAAATTTCGTTCAGGTGTAAGATTGAGTGCATTACCATGTGGTCATGGTTTTCATGAATACTGTATTCGAAAGTGGTTAGATACTGGAGCTTTCGATTGTCCAGTCTGCCGTTGGCCAGCTTATGCACCACATTTACGTCAACAATGTCAAATGATTGAACAGTTAATTAATGCTGTACAAAAAACTATCAATTTCGCTGAGCAGTCTAATAATAATAAAAATAACAATTAATAATCGTGTATCATTGTAGATATTCAGCGACCGATTCTATAAAAAAATGTTTTTCAATAACTTATATTTTATTGTTCCTTTTACTTACCGATTGTATAGTTTTTTTTTCTTTTTGTTTTTAATGAATCCAAAAAGAAATCTGTCGTAATGCAAACTCTTGTTTTTCCTTCTTAAGATGAAAATTTGCTTGTTTGCTTCCAGTGGTAATTAATACAAGATTTTTTATCTAAAGGAATACGCACTTTTGATGGCGTGATTTATTTTAAAGTAAACAGTACTTTAAGTGTGTCTCTATATGAAGAATCCGTAATTGTAAATTACATAGTTTGCAGTTGGTGGAAATGACTAGTGTTGTCAGTAGTGTCGAGCAACCCGACCGAAAGCTGTTACCTTAACGTGGTGGTCGGGCTTGAACACCACAATTACCCAATCAAGCTATACTGGCTGAGACTTATGTCTCTTGAGGTCCTACCATGCCAGAAAGGTTCTTTGGATAGCGGTTAAACAAAAAGCAGCTACCCAATCTAATACTATGATACATACAAAATCACAAAATATCATGCCGGACCGACCGGGGCCCGGATTAACAACGACCGCGCTTCCTGCTGCCGTGTCACAGGGCAGGAGTGATAAATATGCTACTGAGACACACCAAACTGTCAGTCGACGTAGTTACGTTATTTACCTATTTTAGGGCTTACTAGTGGGATTATGCTTTTGTAATTCACAAATTATGCTGAGCAAATATCTTTTAATTGTCATCAGAATGCTTTTCTTTGACTTAGTACCTTTAGTCAACTAAATTGCGCGTACAGAATATGTTCAAACATCGTTTATTCTATGTAAGAATGTGTCAAGTGAGAAGTCGTGTCTGATTGATGTTACGTGAATGTTGATACTGATCCGTAAGACTTGTCGGTCATATCTTGTTCATGATGCAAATTTGAGTTATTAAACAACAGTTCACAATTTATTTAGCTTTTTATCTTATTTGTATTCGAAGGAAGAAAAAAGAAGGGTCTATTAAAGCTAGAAAAGTCGTAGAATTAAGGATTCATTAACCTAGACTGACGAATGTTCTTTATATGCACTCGCGCTTCCCTGATAACATTGCTAAACTGAACCTCTTTTAGTATGTGAGGTTTTAATAGGGTTACCACAAACTTTGGCTTTCGGGAACAAGCATCATGCATTGCACTGCTGGCACCACTTTCATTTGGTTCTATTAGTTATTTTGTTACTTGAATTACCATTACTAGCCTTATTCGAAGCATATACACGATTGAATCGATTTCCTAAGCGGATGTGTAGCTACGGTTACGACTGACGACTCCCTTAAAGACAACTTCTTATGTCAGTGAGTTTACTAATGGTAACCAACATATCTGTTATTTCATAAACATGTATGTCGAAATGCTGTATGTGACCACGGAGATGCACATTATAATTTGGCATTCTGTGTAAGAAGATATCCATCGACAGGAAGCTCCACCTCTCCATTATCAAGTTACTATACAGACGATATAGTCCTTCTAGGCGAAGACGCTGACAAAATGCAGAGTCTTCTGAACACCTTGAACTGCAATCTACGAATGTTTGGCATGCGATTCGCTCCTGAAAAATGCGAGGTGATGTTACAGGACTGGACCACACTGACTCCTAGTTTAGAAATAGGGAGTGAAGTGGTAGAGCACGTTGACCGTTTCACTTATTTGGGAAGCACCATCAGCCAACGCGAGCGGGTCGATCGCTGACGAAATCTCAGCACGGATACAGATGGCTGGTTTCGCATACGCCAGTTTACGCCGTCTCTGGCTTAGTAGTCTGTGTGTCTGTTTTCGACATAGAACTTTGCACAAATGTGCGGAAGTTCAAGTCGCCACATTCCGTGTAGCACGCGAAGCAAGAGAAGAAAGTACAAGAAAAGCATAATAGAAACAGTGAGCAGAGGTGTGAGACAAAGGAGTAATAAAGAAAAACAAAACAGTTTCATTGAAGATCATAAGTCACAGGGAGTGGATGCATCTGCGCCACTGAGAACGATTTTGAGCCATGTCACCAATTGTTTCCAACCATAGATTTTTACCGTCCCGAGGACCCCAGCCTGGAAGTCTACACCTTCCTACGTGGCTTAGACCAACTGTTGTGGATTTCATTGACTGATGCCAAGTTTTTGTTTGACCGCCGCTAGCTTTTTTCCAGCCTGACCCTATATCCGCTAACATTGCTCGTCGAGGGAGGCGATGGCTTGGCATACGTAACACATGTCCTAACCATCTCAGTCTTTGTAGCTTCACGACTTCGTCGATTGATTTCCCCTGTTTACCTAGAACTCTACGCCTAACCTCCATGTTGCTCACCTTATTATGCCACTTTACACGGGAAATAGAACGCAGGCACCTATGATCAAAGACAGCTAGTCTTTTCATGTCTTCCACTCTCAGTGGCCAGGTCTCACAACCATAAAGGAGGACGGAGCGGACTGATGAGCAGTACACCCGCCCTTTGGTCGATAGTCGAACATCTCGTCTACGCCAGAGTCGGCGTAAACTAACAAATGCGAAACGAGCCCCTTGTATTCGTGCTGAGATTTCGTCAGAGATCAGCCCGTTGGGGCTGATGGTACTTCCCAAATAAGTGAAGCGGTCAACGTGCTCTACCACTTCACTTCCTATTTTTAAACTAGGCGTCGATGTAGTCCAGTCCTGTAACATCATCTTGCATTTGGCGGGAGCGAATCGCATGCCAAACATTCGTAGATTGCGGCTCAAGGTGTTTAGAAGACTCTGCATTTCGTCAGCGTCTTCGCCTAGAAGGACTATATCGTCTGCATATTCCAAGTCAACGAGATTATTCCCGGTAGCAAGTCAATCCCTGAGTCGCTGAAGTCACCTAGGGTTAAGTCCATTAACACATCTATGATGAAGTTGAATAGAAAAGGAGATAATGGGCATCCTTGACGGACACCACTGGTCGTCATCAGTTCAGATGACAGCTCGCCGTAAGCCCTCACCTGGCTGTATGAGTACGAGTAGAGTGCCTTAATCAGTGCAATATATTTTCTTGGAATTCCCTTTACAGCCAAGCATCTCCAGAGAACTTCCCGATCGACAGAGTCGAATGCTGCCTTTAGGTCAAGAAATATAATGACTGTTGGACGCCGGTAGGAATGCCTATGTTCTAGAATCTGTCGGAGGGTGAAGATATGATCAATACACCCTCTTCCTGGTCTAAAGCCTGCCTGGCTCTCTCGTGTTTGTGCTTCCCGAGCACCACTCAGTCTACGCATGATTATTGAGCCTAAGACTTTAGATACTATATTAGTCAAGCTAATCCCTCTGTGATTATCACAGGAAGACTTGTCTCCCTTCTTGTATATGGGGATAATCAGTGACTTACACCAACCCGATGGGACTTCTTCTGATTCCCAGACGCTGCCTAGTACCTCAGTTAATCCGGACAGTAAGCTGTCTCCACCGTACTTAAATACCTCTGGAGTCATTCCATCAGGTCCCGCTGCTTTGCCTAGTTTCAGATTGGTGACAGCTTTAGTAACCTCAGTTAGTGACGGAGGACCTGTGTCTATATCCCATTCAGGGAGGTGTTGGATGCTCGGAAGGTTGAGCGTGGCTGTGGGCAAATTAAACTGCTCCTCATAATGCTCTTTCCAACGATCCAGTCGTCTATCCTGGAGCTAATTATAGTGCCATTTTTTTCCGAGATTGTCTCACTAATGATTTGTCTTCTCCCACCCGTTTCCCTGATGAGTCCAAAGAGTTGCCTGGTGTTGCCTATCCTCGAAGCTTTCTCCATCTCTTTGGCTTTTGTCGCCCACCACTGTTCACGGTCCTTGCGGAGACTTTTCGTAAGTTTCCTCTTGTGCAGCTTTCGCTCCTCATTGAATTCGGAGCTCGCCGGAATAAGTCTTCTAGCATCTATCAGTTCGGATGAGGCGGTGGAGATCCAGTGGTTTTTACTCACCTTTGGGTTTACCTTATTCACAGCTTTTACAGCTGTATCTATGGCTGCCTGGATATTTTTCCAAGCTTCTTCAGGGTGAGCACAGCTGTCGAACACAGATATGTGTTTAGCTAGTTCTTCCTCAAATACGGATTTAGTTTCCTGATCGAGCTGGGGACGTGATGGTTTTACCGCCAGCTGTTTCCTACGTCCGTTCAGTCGTAAGCACACCCGAGCGCGGACCAGTGCATGGTCGGTATCTACGCACGTGTTCCAGAAGGAGCGACAATCTCCTACCGACCCACGCCAACGATAGCTTATTGCTATGTGGTCTATTTGTGTCCAGCGTTGGTTTGATGAAGGGGGTCTCCAAGTCAAACAGTGTCTCTCCTTGTGTTTGAAGTTAGTGCTTACAAGAAACAAATGATTATCAGAGCAGAACTGTAGGAGACGGTCACCGTTGTCGGTTCGCTGGCACGGAGCTCCATAGGTGCCACCGACATCCTTCTCAGATTGACACAATTTCCCTACTTGAGCGTTAAAGTCACCAGCTAGAACGACTATGTCTGAGCGTTTAGCCTTTCCACCAAACTAGACAGCTTTTGGTAGAACTCATCCTTCGTTTCATCTGAACTGCAGTCAGTGGGGGCGTAGGCGGAGATTACGAAAAGGCATCGGCGAGTAGTGCAGTCCTTCCTCCTTCTTACTGATCCGTTCAGGCGGACAGCACACATTCGGCTATCTACCGGGATCCAGTCAAGCAATGTCTTTTCTGCCCTAGTACTCAAAGCTATCCCTACGCCAGCTAATCCTCGTGAACTAGCTGTGGCATCTCCTGACACCCTCAAGGTGAATTTTGCAGATTCAACCTGTTGGCCAGGTGGGGTTAGGTGAATAACCACACTTGGGTCTTGTATGCGTGTTTCTGAAACACAGCATACATCAATGGCTCGTGATGCCAGGGTCTTGGCTAGTGATGCTTGTTGTCCTATTTGGCAAAGTGTCCTAACATTAAGAGCTCCTATATGAAATTGGTGGCG